GCAACCCAGGCATGTACCTTGACCTGGATCTGAACCAGGGACCCCTGGGTTAGCGGCCCAGCACTCAATCTACTGAACCTCACTAGCCAGGACTGTTTGTTGTTATTTTTCAAGTTTCTTTAACTATAAAGTTAGGTTATTATTTGAACTTTTTCTTATTTTTTGAGATGGACCTGTACTGCTATGAATTTCCATCTTAGGACTGCCTTTCCTGTGTCCCACAGATTTTGTGCTGCTGTGTTCTCATTTTCACTTGCTTCAAGGTATCTTTTGATTTCTTCCTTGCCCCACTCGTTTAACATGTTATTTAGCTTTCAAGCTTTGTGTATTCTTTCAGTTTTCTTGTGATTGATTTCTGGTTTCATGGCATTATGGTCAGAGAAGATGCTTGGTATGATTTCAGTCTTAAACTCACTGAGACCTGTATCCTAAATGAGGTCTATCCTAGAAGATGTTACATGTGCGGTTGAAAAGAACGTATATTCTGCTGCTTTGGGGTGAAATGCTCTGAAGATATCGATTAGATCTATTTGATGTAGTGTGTCATTTAAGGCCACTGTCTCCTTGTTGATTTTCTTTCTGGAAGATCTATCCACTGAACTCAATGGGGTGTTAAAATGTCCTACTATGACTCTTTTTCCCGATCTCTCTCTTTACGTCCATCAAGATTTGTTTAAGATGTTTAGGTGTCCCTATTGGGTGCATCAGTGTTTACTGGATTTATATCCTCTTTTTGGATTGTTTCTTTTATCATTATATAGTGTCCTTCTTTGTCTCTTAGTGTAGCCTTGCCTTTAAAGTATATTTTGTCACATTCAGGTATTGCTACACCAGCTTCTTTTTTCCTTTGCATTTCCATGAAATATCTTTTCCATCCCTTTACTTTTAGTCTGTATATCTTTCATTCTGAGGTGGATCTCTTGGAAACAGCATATATATGGGTCTTGTTTTCTTATCCATTCAGCTGCCCTATGTGTTTTGATTGAAGCATTTAAACCATTGAAAGTCATTATCATTAGATAGGTATTTATTGCCATTTAATTTTTTTAACTATTTCCCTCTTCTTAAAGAAAGCCCTTTAATATTTGTTGCTATACTGGTTTGATGTTAACAAACTCCTTTAGCTTTTTCTTGTCTTGGAAGTTCTTTATTTCTCTTTTAGTTTTAAATGATAGCCTTTCTGGGTAAAGTGTCCCTGGTTGTAGGTCCTCTCTTTTCATCACCTTGAATATTTCATGCCAGTCCCTTCTGTAAATCAGCTTACAGTATAATGGGGAGTTCCTTTGTAGATAATTGCGGTTTTTAAGATTTTTCTCCTTGTCTTTAAGCCTTGCCGTTTTAATTATGATATGTCTTCATATGGTCCTCTTTGGATTCATCTTGTTTGGGACTCTCTATGCTTCCTAGACTTGTGTCCTTTTCCTTTGACAGGTTATGGAAGTTTTTGGTTATTATTTCTTCAGATAGGTTCTCCACCTCTTGCTCATTCTCTTCTCCTTCTGGTATTTTCATGATGCAGATGCTTTCTTTATGTTGTCCCCAAGGTTTCTTAAACTATTCTCATTTTTAAAAATTCTTTCCTCTTTTTTTGCTGCTCTGCTTGGGTGGGTTTTTTTCCCTACCTTGACTTCCAAATCACTGGTTCTATCTAACCTACTGTTTATTCCTTCTAGTGTATTGTTTCTTACACATACTGCATTCTTTCTTTCTGATTGGTCCTTTTTTATGGTTTCTTTCTTTTTTTTTTTTTTAATGCTGTTGAATATCCTTAAAATCATTACTCTAAAGTCTGTATCTGATAAATTGCTTGCCTCTGTTTCATTTAGTTCTTCTTCTGGAGAGTTCTATTGTTCTCCCTGGTGAGGGGCCTGTTACTCTGTCTTCCAATTTTGACTATGTCTTTGTGTTTGTTTCTGTGTATTAAGTAAATCCACAAAGAGTCTGGGGCAGACCTATCTCACTGCTTGTGACGGGCCCTAGGCAGCCTATTTGGAGCTATCAGCAATCCATAGCTTGTGGCTCTCTGTGCCACACCTCTGGGTGTTTGCAGAAAGAACCAAGCCACACACCAAGGCTGGATTTTACCAGCACTAGGCCCAGCAGAGGGTCAGTAAAAGTCTCCAGAGCTCTGCCTTCACAGTTAGGCTTAGTTACTGAAACAGCCTCCAGCTGTACTCAGCAGCCTGGCTTCAGCTCTGCAGTATGGGTTAAGAGGGATTCCTATAGGTGGGGCTACTGTTTCCCCCTCCCCACCTCCTCCCATGCCTCATGGAGGGGAGTGTTGTAACTGGGAAAGATGGCTACTGCAGTATGGGGAATGATTCAGCACATGGATACTGGTGACTGACCCTTCAGCTCTCTCCCCAGAGCCACCAACTGCACTCTCTCCTCACGTCTCTAATCTACTCTACCCTTTTTCTGTGGGATCCCAGGGTAAGTGGCTGCAAACAAAATTTTGTGCATTAGCCTTTTAAGAGGCTCTCTGTGTCTCTAGCTGCCTCTGCCTGGTAGACAGCAACCCTGCTGCTTTTCACAGCTGGATGATATTTGGGTTCCTTTCCTGGTTCTGGTGCTCTGTGCTGGGGAGCCCAGCCTGGGGTTCAAACCCTGCAAGTCTTCAGGGGAACTCTGCTCTCTGCACCCTAGCCCCTCCCACCACCACCACTGAAATACTCCTCCAGCACTTCAGCTGCCACCCCATGGGAGCCCAGCCAGCCCTCTTGCGTTTCTGCACTTCCTACGGTCTCATGGCGATGAGGTTTCTTCCATAAGTCCTTGGCTTTTTTCCAGCTGTTGTTCAGTTTATTTAGAATGATTTTTCTATAATTTAGTTGTAGTTCCAGTTTGGTCCTGGGAGGTGGTTAGTGTAGCTTCTACTTATTTCACTATCATCTTAGAGTCTGAGTGAGTTTTCTTTTCATGTTGCAAAATAATTGTAAAACAGTGGGTATTTTCTTCTCAAAAAATTGATCTTTAAGGAAGATTGTGTACATGAATGCATCCATTTGCAGCCTAAGAACATCATGCTTTTGTGCCAGATTTTCTAGGAAAAAATGAAATACTGGAGTAGATTTATCTTTAGAATCCTCAACTTAATTGTAAACATTGTGTCTGACTTCTTCATAAATAATATCTAAAATTTATTTTACTTTAAAGTTAATAAATGGGATCTATTCAAATTGTAACTACTTAGTCACAATACAAAACAACTCCCAGTAGCCTTTCTATATACAATGCTGTATTGAATTCAACACCATTAATTTGTTGGTATATTTTTTATATCTTTAAGCTTTACTATACCTGTCCAGCCATCCTTCTCTTAATTCATAAAGTATTGGGTTGGCCAAAAAGTTCGTTTGGTTTTTTTCCCATAACATGGCTCCAGTAGTGCTTAGTTGTCTTTAACTTCATTTGAAATAATTCTGTTAGATTGTATTGTGGCAGCTGTCATAGCAGCATGCCTTTTGTAAAAAAAAATCAGAATTGGTAAATTTCTACATAGCCATTTTAATATTGAAGATGAAAGAAAATACGAAACATTTTCAGCATATTATGCTTTATAATTTCAAGAAAGGTAAAAATGCAACTGAGAAGCAAGGAAAGATCTGTGCAGTGTATGGAGAACATGATCGAATGTGTCAAAAGTGGTTTGCAGTTTCATGCTAGAGCTTTCTCACTGGACAATGCTCCACAGTCAGGTAGACAGTTGAAGTTGATCGTAATCAAATCAAGACATTAAGTGAGAACAATCAACATTCTACCATATGGGAGATAGCTGACATGCTCAAAATATGCAAATCAAAAAAGTTATTGCTGAAAATGAAAAATGTCTTTTATTTTACAGAAAAAACTGTATGGACTTTTTCACCAACCCAGTATAATTAAAAACAGTAATTTTTTGTATGGGAGTCTGGGAATTGAGTGAATTTTTTTAGCACAGATTTTTTTAAAAAACAAACTTGATGTGTAAATAATTTTAAATTTACAAAAAAAATTTGCAAAAATAGTTGCATTATCCTTCACCCAGCTTCCCCTAATGTTACCATCTTGTATATCTACGCCATAATACTCAAAACCATGAAACTAATATTGATATGATACTGTTAATTAATCTACAGGCCCAGTTCACAGTTTACAAAATTTTTCACAAATACCTTTTCTGGTCCATGATCCATTCCTGGATCCCACCATTGCATTTAGTTCTTAGGTCTCATTAGTCTTCTTTCTTTAAGTTTTGAAAATGTTTATCAGCTCTAATTTTGATTGAACATGCAGTTGAAGGAACTCTTCTTAGAAGCATGTTACTCTTCAGAAAATAGAATGTATTTTTGATATCCAGATTATTGCCTTGAAAGCAGGATGTTTTTCAGTCTTTGTTGTGTTCATTTAGAACCTTTCCAGAGGTTTTTCCATTGTAATAGTTTTATAAGAAAAAGTTTTACAAGGTAAAATAAAATTAACCACATTCCGTTATTCAAACACCAGAGCTTCTAAGATTCAATGCACTTGCTTCCTAAACAAATGATATAAAAAGGTAAAAGAATGTATTCAGTGTTTTCTTTTTTAAATCTTCAACCAAGGAAGGACATGCCTACTGATTTTTTTAGAAGGAGAGGGGAAGGGAGGGAGATAAATAGGGAGGGAGAGGAACATAAGTGGATCACAGGAGTGGGAGAGAAGCTTCGACTGGATCTCATGTGCACCGATCAGGGACCAAACCCACAACCCAGGCGTGTGCCCTGACCAGGAATCTAACCCACAGCCTTTTGGTTCATGGGTTGATGCTTCCACCAGCTAAGTCACACTGGGCCAGGGCATATTTAGTGTTTTTGGTGGTAAAGTTTGAGAATAAGAAAATCTGATGTGGATCTTGGTGTTCAAAGAACCAGAATAAATGTGTGTTTTAAAATCAGTAGTCATTTTTAACACTGGTATATCTATTTGGCATCTGAGATTATATTTGAAACTCCTTCAAAAATAATATTTGTTTATATTTACAGAAAAAGATTTACAAAGATCAGATGGAATACATGTTGCAGAATCATGTATTCCCTCTATTCAGCAGTGAACTAGGCTACATGAGAGCGAGGGTAAGTTTTAATGCTGTTTTAATTTATATATTTACATCGTGTAATGAATGACTGCTTATGTAAACTTTTAAAAGGGAACTTTTTAATGTTCACTTTAAAAGCCCTATTTCATATTAGACTTATGTTTCATGCAAATCTTTTAATGGCTGATGTAATGTGTGCATAGTTTTCATCTGTGTCTGATAGCAGTGTCTGTCTGTGTTTTGCATTCAGATCTTGCTATCCACACAAACATCATGCAGCCAAAGAGTAAGTTGGGATCATAGTACTGGTCTAGTGTTGTCTCATTGGACATAATTTTACACTGACCAGCCTCCAAATTCCCGCACAGAATTTTGTGAATAGAGATACTATATAGTTGGGGAATTTAATGTAAAATATTGTAGTAACTCACTGCAATTCTTGTTTTTAAGGCTTGCTGGGTCCTTCACTATTTTTGTGAAGTGAAGTTCAAAAGTGACCAGAACCTGCAAACGGCCTTAGAGTTGACAAGAAGATGTCTAATTGATGACAGGGAAATGCCTGTGAAAGTGGAAGCTGCCATTGCACTTCAAGTGTTGATTAGCAATCAAGAAAAAGGTAAGATGTTTATCCTAGATACTTGACACATAATCTTCCTTTTTATGTAACAGTGTCTCTTTTTTACTCTTTGGTGTATGTTGTATCACGTTTTAAGGAGTTTTTAGCTATTTTGGCCTAAGTTTTCTTCTCTTTTCCTCTTATAGCTAAAGAATATATCACACCATTCATCAGACCTGTAATGCAGGCTCTTCTTCATATTATAAGAGAAACAGAAAATGATGATCTTACCAATGTCATCCAGAAAATGATCTGCGAGTACAGTGAAGAAGTTACTCCTATTGCAGTAGAAATGACACAACATTTGGTATGTTATTTGAATCAATCATTCATACATTACTTACCTTACTGAAAGTATTTTCAGAGCTTACTGTATTTTCAGATACTGTTATAATCCCTCAATGTATATTTAACTCACTTAAATCTCATACAATTCTGTGTGAGGACTATTTCTGTATTGAAAGAAAATCTGAGGTGTAAAGAGCTAAAGTAGCTTGCCCATAGCTAGAATAAGTGGGGCTGGATTCATATCTGAGCTGTATGCCTTTACAGAGCACGTTCTTAACTGTTATCTCACATTGCATTATGATTGACTTGTTCGTGTAGTTTCTTAGAATATTTTGGACCAACTTAAAGATGAAGTAGGCATGTTGGTTACAAATGCTTTTGAAATGAAATTTGTGTAATGTTATTTTATTGATAGCCTTTGTTTACTGTACATAGCCCCAGTCTTCTGAGAATTAAGTTATTTATGGGTAATAAAGAATGTGAACATGTGTCTAACAGTTACCCATTCCTTTTCCCTATACATTGAATTATTTGATGCAGTTTATATTCCTAAGTATTGATATTTCAAGAATCTAACTCTAATTATTTGCTCTGGGTTTAAGCAGTGGTAGAGTTTGTGAATCCAGCACCCACTTATGATAACTCTCAGTAAAGTGGGTCTAGAGGGACCATAACATAATAAAAGCCATATATGAAAAACCCAGGCTAGTATGCTCAATGGACAAAAGCTAAAAGCATTTCCCTTAAGATCAGAAACAAGACAGGGATGTCCACTTTCACCACCCCTACTCAACATAGTACTGTAAGTCCTAGCCATAGTAGTCAGACAAGAAGAATTAATAAAAGGCATCCAGATTGGAAAGGAAGAAGCAAAACTCATTATTTGCAGATTTTGTGATACTGTATGTTGAGATCTTGAAAGATTTCCACCAAAGAAACTACTAGAACTGATAAGTGAGTTCAGTGATGTAGAGGATACAAAATATCCAGAAAGCAGTTTCATTTTTGTACACCAATAATGAACTATCAGAAAGGGAAACTTAAGAAAACAATCTCATTTCCATTTACATCAAAAATAACGTAAAATACCTAGGAATAAATTTAACCGAGGTTGTAAAAGACCTGTGTTCAGAAAATGGTAAGACACTGAAGAAAGAAATTGAAGAAGCTACAAATAAGTGGAAGCTTATACCATGCTCACGGATAGGGAAAATAAGCATCATTAGAATGCCCATGCTACCAAAGACAATCTATATATTCAACACAATTCCTATCAAGATACCAATGGCATATTTGGCAGGACTAGAACAAATATTCCAAAAATTTATACAGAACCACAAAAGACCCCAAATAGTAGCAGTAATCTTGTACTACAAGGCCATAGTAATCAAAAGAGCGTAGTACTGGCATAAATACAGACATACAGATCTATGAAACAGAATAGAGTGCCCAGAAAAGAATACACACTTTTATGGTTAAGTACTATTTCACAAAGGAGGCAAGAATATACAGTGGGGGTAAAAATGAGCCTAGTAAATGAATGGAGTTGGGGAAATTGGACAGACAATATGCAAAGAAAATGAAACTAGACCACTTTCTTACACCATGTGCAACAATAAACTCAAAATGGATTAAAGACTTAAATGTAAGTCTTTACATTTAACCATAAAACTCCTAGAAGAATACATGGGCAGTAAAATCTCTGACATTTCTCTTAGCAATATATTTTCTGATCTCCTTGGGCAAGGGAAACGAAAGACAAACAATTGGGACTACATCAAACAAAAAAGGTTTTGCACAGCCAAGAAACCATCAACAAAATAGAAAGATGACACACTGAATCAGAGAACATAATTATCAATGATACACCTGGTAATGGCTTAATATCCAAAATTTATAAGGAACAGAGGTCAAGTAACTAAGACCCCTAAGTAATTCGCAGAGCAGTACTATTTGATTATAGTGTCCAAGCTCTTAATTATTATTAATCAATTTGGAGACATTGATTGATTTTGCTGTCCCAGTGAGAACATTTTAAAAATTAAAAGTTTTAGACAAAAATGTGTTTATACCACTTTGATGGTAAACGTAAATTACATTCTTTTGAATCTAGGCAATGACATTTAATCAAGTAATCCAGACTGGGCCAGATGAAGAAGGAAGTGATGATAAAGCAGTTACTGCTATGGGAATTCTGAATACCATTGACACACTTCTTAGTGTAGTTGAAGATCATAAAGAGGTAAGAAAATGATATAATGTTTTAAGGGTTTTAGGTTATTTCAAACTATTCTTCATCAACTACTCTGTGCTTTTTGGAGGGTTCTAACTTACAATTTTTGGTTATCTTTTCATGTACCTTGATTCCGCCATCTTAAAAGTTGAGTAGTTCCCTTTTGTTATGGATAAGATTGATGTAGTATTTTAGTTTCCCTACTATTATAGAAGGAACAAGTTGTTTGCATTACAGTATCTTTACCTCAAGGCTTGGGTTTTGGCTCCCTCTTAGTTTACATATCTCAGATCCAAAAGTGTGGTGATTTCTAGGAAAATGTATTCTACCTAGTGTTCCTTTTCAATAAAAAATACTTTAAAACTATGATAGAATACCTTAAATGTACAATTCAGTGGTGTTAAGTACATTCACATTGTTGTGCAACCTACACTGTAGTCTTTCTAGTTTTCTTTTACTGTTATCTTGTAGAAAGGTGTGAATTGTAAATGAATTTTTAAATGGAATTATTTTAAATATACAGAAAAGAGAAATGAACAGAGAAAAACTATAACCAATACCTTTTACCCACCACCTAAATTTACTAGATTTTAACATTTTATAGTATATCCATTAGACTTTATTTCCAGTAAGAAAGACAGTTTCATATAGATGTAATTAAAGATCTTGGGCTACCACTTCTTAATCTCATTTCCCTAATCTCTTCCCTTAAAAGTAATCACTGTCCTGAATTTGAAGTTATATATTCTGTCTGTGTTGTATGACTTAGGGGCCTGGTTCTCTGTGTCTAGTAATATTGAGATAATTATATAAATGGAGGTGGCTTAAGAATTATTAGGAGTGGTGGGAATAATGCTTTCTTTCAAATTGTTCTGTACACCACTAACAGTGACTTTTCAGTTACGTCTGGGCTTAATTAATCTGTATTTACAAACAAAATTTTTAAAGTCTGTCTGAAGAACTGTGTGGCTACTTTATTTTCATAATTACTTGAATTTTTCCAGGATGTTATTTTTTCCTTTTTGGGTAAACTATGCATCTTATTCCTTACGTTTATCTCATTGTAATGGTATTTCACTAAATTGGAATCCCAGGTTGATTCATAACATGAGTGAGTCATTTTTAAAGCAAAGTCTTAACAATGATTTCTTAACAATACTGACTTTATATTTTTAATATAGTGAATTCCATTATACATTGTCCAGTAATTCATTCGGTGTGCTGTGATTCTTCCATGTGATTTTTTTTTCTTCTCTTTTTAGATAACCCAGCAGCTTGAGGGAATCTGTTTACAGGTCATTGGAACTGTATTACAACAGCATGTCTTAGGTATATACCTCTGGCTAATGTAAGAATTTACTGTTATGTCACATTAGCAAGGATTGTACTAATTACTCCATACTCTCTTTTAGAATTTTATGAGGAGATCTTCTCTTTAGCACATAGTTTGACATGTCAGCAAGTGTCTCCACAGATGTGGCAGCTTCTACCTCTGGTATTTGAGGTTTTTCAACAAGATGGCTTTGATTACTTTACAGGTAAGTCAAGTCAGCATAGAAATACCTTTGTTTTGATTTATTTTTAGGATATCAATTGAACATATAGTTTTGAATATTCTAAGTTCATCCTTGTTTGGATAAGTCACCAATAGCAGTTGATGCTAAAGGACCGATAACAGTGATTTTCATTTCATATTTTTATTTAAGTATTAGTTTATATTATTTTTATTTTATGCTTATTTTCACAATCCTGCTCCCCATCAGTATTCTTTGTATCATCTTTGTGTTTTAACTACTAAATATAAAGGAATTCACTTTAATAATGGTTCATTTTTACAGCTAATTACAAATGAATATGCGTTAATTAAAAGTGAATGTTATGGACAAAACAGTCTCAGATTTGCTTTATTCTAAAGAGATTTTTTTAGAAACAAAATGTTTATATTAGTAAAGGTAATTAACTGATGCTTTTTAATACAGATATGATGCCTCTGCTTCATAATTATGTGACAGTTGACACAGACACACTTTTGTCTGATACCAAGTATCTTGAAATGATATACAGTATGTGCAAAAAGGTAGGTCATTTTTAATTAATAGAAGAACATGCTATGAGTCTGGTGCTATAAAAAGTATGAAATTGTGAAGCTACATGATACCACATTATGATGATCAGATTATATGGGTCTAACAGAATAAGGACTTTAACCAGTCAGAGAAGACAAATACGATATGATCTCACTTCTATGTGGAATCTAATGAACAAAGTAAACTGACAAACAAAATAGAAACAGATGAATACATGGAACAGACTGATTGATAGCTGTCAGGGCATCTGGGAGGACTGGATGAAAGAAGGTGAAGGGATGTGCCGAAGAACATAAATGGGTAACTCATAGACACAGGCAACAGTATGGTGATGGTGGGGGTGGGGAGCCTGGGTGGAGGAGGGAAAAGTGGGGAGAGTGGGACATCTGTAATAATGTCAACAATAAAAGTTAAAAAGAATAAGGGCTTTAAAAGTTTAAACAGGACTTTGATTCCTTAGCTGTCAACGTTAATGGCTTTGGCAAGTGTTTGTCTTCTGTCTGCCCTCTGATATTTAATGTAGAGTTATAAATGTTTTTGATTTTCACTGTGCCTGGAGCTTAACAGCCTAGTTCTTTGCTGGGGTTTGAATAAAATGGAAAGAATCTAGAATTTGAGAGATTTTTGAAAGGATCAGGAATTATTGCAGATATTTGTTAAATAAAATTCTTGGAGGCTGTGGAGGCTATACAGTAATTATTTGGTAAATAGCAAGATTGTAAAAATCATAAATTTCCAATGAATGTTATGAGGTATGAGTAAAATACTTGAATTGGGGTCCTTCAATCGATGTCATGGTCACTGTAATTGGTGGTTTTTTAATTTCTAACAGTGCTTGTTTAGAGGCAGCAGGCTGTTTAACATGAGGCATTTAAAAAGTGACTTTGCTCCATGAAGTTTTTAGATGTGCTTGTCTGTACTGATACCTTTCTTTTCTGAACAGTCACAAAATAATCACCTAGATATGTTATTCAGTATTTATTGCCAATACTATTATTATTGCAATACTCTGAAAACAGATATCTATACCATCATATTCCAGAACACTTATTGTTATTTTCAGTCCTCTGCTGCTAACTGGCATGCCGAATCCATGTTTTTATGTGTCTGTGGACATTTGCTGTCAACAGGCTGTTTCCTCCTTCCTCCTCTTACACTCCAATGTCAGAATTTTTTAATTTTTGAGACTTGTATAGAGAAAAGATTTTCCTAGCAATATCAGCTTAGTTTTTTTGTAGTTCTTTACATAAGAGCCAGATATCCCTGAGAAAAGTTAGGTACTTTAGCTAAGGTGAAGGTCCTTTGGCATGTTTGTATGAGAAAAGTGGTCAACATGTTATAGTCCAGAATGGCACTCTGGGAGAAGTGCTTTATGTATACTAAGATCCAGATTGCTAGAATATGTCAGATGATCAACTCCACATCCCCACAGATCCTTTAGACTATAATCTGAATATTGTAATTCCTATTTAGAATATCTTAAATACTCCAGAGACTGAAGATGGGACAGAAATTCTCAGACTGAAAGTTTTCATAATGCCTCCCTCAAATATATATTGTGTTGATCAGGTTCTTACCGGAGTTGCAGGAGAAGATGCAGAGTGTCATGCAGCAAAATTGTTAGAGGTCATCATTCTACAGTGCAAAGGGCGTGGCATTGATCAGGTCAGTGAGGCTACTATTGATTCGTTTGTGAGGCTTCAGAGAGGAAATCTTCCCCTCCACTTTTTTTCTTTTTGGCCATTTGTTATATATTCTGTACGTTGTTATTTATTAAGACACCTAGATAAATTAATTAATATTTAACCAATGTATAATAATGATCATATGTTTAATATGTATATGTTAAATATGACTGGCTTGTTTTATGACCACTTATTAACATGCAAGGTAAGTTTTGTTTTGACTTTGCATTTTCTTATGAGTATTGCTTGCCATGTTATCACTTTGCAGTAAAATAGATTCAGTCATTAAATTTCCATGGTTGGTTTCAATAAGAATTTTTTCCAGTTTTATTGAGATATAATTGAAATATAATGTGTAAGTTGGAAATGTACAGTGTAATGAATTGACACACATACGTATTACAGAAATGGTCACCACAGTAAGGTTAGTCAATAGGGGTATTGTGAATCCTCGGTTGCTATTGTGGTGAGGCCCTAATATCTCATTGAAGACTTTCTCTCTAAAATTAGATTTCCCCACTGAAATGCCTCAAAAAAACAAAAACAAAAACTATTGTATCATTTAATGAGGAAAGCAGGGAGTTGAGGCAACAAGTAAGTTAATATGGGTAGGACAATTAGATTGCTATTACTTACAATTTTAGAATATTTTCATCTTTCTTTACAGTGTATTCCTTTATTCGTGGAAGCAGCTTTAGAGAGACTGACAAGAGAGGTGAAGACGAGTGAACTTCGAACAATGTGCCTGCAAGTTGCCATTGCAGCTTTGTATTATAATCCACACTTACTACTTAACACGTTAGAAAATCTTCGCTTTCCTAATAATGTTGAACCAGTTACAAATCATTTTATTACACAGTGGCTTAATGACGTTGATTGTTTCTTGGGGTAAGTGACATATATTGGATATTTGTTTATTTAACTTTATAAGAAACTGCTTATTAAGGAAAATCTTTTATTTTATCTTTTAGGCTACATGACAGAAAAATGTGTGTTCTGGGCCTGTGTGCTCTTATTGATATGGAACAAATACCACAAGTTTTAAATCAGGTTTCTGGACAGATTTTGCCAGCTTTTATCCTTTTATTTAATGGATTAAAAAGAGCATATGCCTGCCATGCAGAACATGAGAATGACAGTGATGACGATGATGAAGCTGATGATGATGAAGAAACAGGTAAGGGATTTGTGATGGAGGAACATACCTACTTATATTATCACTGGACTTAATTTGTTTTATTAGTCCTTCTCCTAAAGAAATGTGAGATCATAGTCAAATGTTTTTATTTTCATTATTCATAGGAAGATAATCTTACCTTTCCCCTAGGGTAAGGTCCATGAAGGCAGAACTTCTGCTGTATCTTAACACGTAAAAGTACTTCTAGGCATTTATGGTTCCTCCCTTTTTTAACAGGCTTAATTCATTTTATTTTTCTTGTATAAAATTATGTCGTGGCTCAATAGGTTGGACATCATCCTGCAAACCAAAAGGTCACTGGTGCTCTTCCTGGTCAGGGCATATGCCTGGATTGTGGGCCAGGTCCCCATTTGGGGGGCATGCGAGAGGCAGCTGATCGATCCTCATCATGCACATTGATCTTCCTCATGTCCTTGACGTGGAGGCCCAGTTTGGTTATAGGGATCATACCTTGTCCTCAGCCTTTTCTCCTCAAGCTCCGGGGCCTTGGCCCCCGTTCAGACCCCAGCCACGACCTTGGTTCTGGATGCCACTGCCAAATCCTCCTCCATGGTAGCCACAGTGGCCTCCCATTCCAGGGCCACCAGGCTGTCAAGTAGCATCTGGCTTCATTCACCATTTGGTGTTAATTCTGAAAAGAAGGCATTTATGGTTCTTAGTGTTGGCAAACATAAGCATCCTAACTATAAATAATGTTAATTGGATGTTGCCTAATACACTTCACCTGTAAGACACTGTAGACTACAAGAGTATGAATTAACAGAATATTAGTTAAGAAAAGTTATTTTAACAGTTTCAAAAAAAGATAGCGATTGCCACTTTTGTCTTTTATCATTCACTAATAAACTATATTACTTTACTATTGGTGTTTGATTTGGTATATACCATATGGCTCAGAGTACACCAAGTGCTGAATCTCCTATTTTGCAATTCTTTTTCAAACCTCTAATATTAAGAATTGTGGCTGGGTTTCTTGCATTTCTGTGAGAATTTTTTTCCTATTGCTAAACATATACTTAAACACCAGTTCCTGGGGACTGTTCCTTGAATTTATTCAATTGTGGTTTACTGTTACCACTATCAGTTTGTTTTGTAACAGAATGTTGTAGTACTGACAAAAGCGTCTTTTTTTGTCTTGGCAGAGGAACTGGGGAGCGATGAAGATGACATTGATGAAGATGGTCAAGAATATTTGGAAATTCTGGCTAAGCAAGCAGGTGAAGATGGAGATGATGATGATTGGGAAGAAAACGATGCTGAGGAGACGGCTCTGGAAGGCTATTCCACAATCATTGACGATGAAGATAACCCAGTTGATGAGTATCAGATATTTAAAGCTATATTTCAAAGTAAGTCAACTTGTTATATGTAATTCATGTAGCCCTCTTCCTGATCCATTTCCATAAACCAGTCTGTTCTTACATTGTCCCTTAGAGGGATTTGGGTATATCAAACCCAACAGAATATGATTTAGGATTGTTGTACAAAATAACTAAAGTTACTTCTACCATTGCCATATCTTGATAACATTTTCTGCATCCAATTCTTTTTATTTAGACTATAATTTTGAAACAGGCACATTGTAGAAAAAAATATTCAAAAAGTTTATACAGGCACAATTTCTCTTTCCCACTTCTGATTTCTAGTCTCCCAGCTTCCTCCAGAAGCATCCACCTTCTGTTTGTGTGTGTTCGCATATCTTTCCTTTCCAGCCAAACCCACACTTAACCTTTCTGAGAATTGGACAGTTCATAAATAATGGCCTTGGAATCCTTTCCATTTTTTCTGTGCCACAATGTGTGTGGCTACATAACATTTGGTGCCAGGGTTTTTGTTTTTACCTTCGTGTACATGGAGTTCAACAAAATACAACATCTGTGTTCCCCCATTCAGCTTTGAAATTAAAATTGACATATTTGAAATGCCCTTTATCGTCAGAGTTAAATATTGTGCTATCTATTCATCATTCCTATGCATTATGAACTTTGATGTAAAATAACTTCTCTGATAAAGACTTTAGTTTTCCAAGCCCATGACAAAGCAATTTCGATGGAGGGTTGCAAAAGTACAAAGAAATTTTATGAGCAACATGGCAGGCAACAAGAATTGATTGAGATGCCAAGAACTACTGGCTTCTATTAGTACCCCTATTAGTACATGAGAAAAAGAGTTTTCATTCTTGAAATTATTCCATAAAATATATTTTGTTAAAAATTTTTATAGAGAACATATTCTGTCTCACCATGCACATGATCTTTGAATAGCTGTTTAACTGAAGTAGGGGAATACACGGTCAGACTTACCACCATTATTATATCTCAGCTTATCTAGTCCATGTTTTCATGACACATTTTGAGGTTTTTTGACACGTGGTCTTGTGACAGCTGGGAAAAAATTATTCTCCCTTTGTCACAGATTGAGTTTGACCATTGTTTGGGCTATAATATTAAAAATATGTGAGCACTGATTTTAACTTAAGTATTACAGATCTTTCTATAAAAAGACAGTAGATGTATTTAGAGTTTTTGAATAGGCAATGCAGAAAGAAATGAGGTATTTTGTACCATTCACCCCTTCATATGCATCTACTTAATGCTTTTTGTTTTTTAATTTAGAGATTTGAAAATTTTTATATCTAAACTTCCCTTAGTTTGTTGTTTATAAGAACTGGTTTAGGCGCTGCATCCTTATTTGCTAGAGATATAAATTAGGAGAATGATCAGGTTTTTTGAGACATTAAAGCTAAACCGAATTTTTTTCTCCCTGTATCATTTGTTTCACAAATAACTTTAAAATTATTATTGAGGGAACATAAAATAGATCAGAATTTTAGTACTGGAGGTGGAGCACAGGAACAGAATAGAAAGGAGCTACCAGGCCTCTCATTATTTCCATTTCCCTGTTTCTTTTCTTTTTGATAGCTATACAAAATCGCAATCCTGTGTGGTATCAGGCTCTGACTCATGGTCTTAATGAAGAACAAAGAAAACAGTTACAGGATATAGCAACTCTGGCCGATCAAAGAAGAGCAGCCCATGGTATGTTAATTAACCACAACCCCTCTTTAATGCAATTCATGATTTGATACAGCTTTAAAATTTTATATTAAATGATTTTTTTTAAGATTTTATTTTTTTAGAGAGAGGGAAGGGAGGGAGAAAGAGACAGAGAGAAAGAACCATCAATGTGTGGTTGCCTCTCACGCATCCCCCATCTCTGGTGACCTGGCCCATAACCCAGGCATGTGCCCTGACAGGGAATTGAACTGATGACCCTTTGGTTCTCAGGCAGGCACTCAAGCCACTAAGCCACACCAGGCAGGGCTAAATTATTTTTAACTATATTAAATTTATAGTTGTTGGAGGTGATAGGAATTCACGCTAACCTAAAGGAATGAATTGAATTTTGTGTTTGGCAACATTTCACTGATTTAAGTGTAGTTGAAGACTACTTTCAGTTTGCGGAAGCTTTAATAAGGTTGCCCAAGTTTATGTTGATGGCTTGATAGTTGAAAATCCTATTAAAAAGTGTAAAAAAATTAAAAGTTACAAAAACTCTCTCAGATTTATATTAAACATTCTAACCAGTATGCATTTCACAAAAGAACATTTTAGATAATACATAGCCTAATTTTGGAACTCCCTACCTAATACTACTAGTTAAGCTATTATTAATGTGTCCATTTTCTTGTTTTCTCCAAAGTAGTAAGATGATCACATGTTCTATTAAACTAACACTTAACTTCTTTTCTAGAATCCAAAATGATTGAGAAGCACGGAGGATACAAATTCAGTGCTCCAGTTGTGCCAAGCTCTTTCAATTTTGGAGGCCCGGCACCAGGGATGAATTGAGTGTCACTTTCCTGCTGTGTGATTGTAGTGATGAGCTTGTGTTCCTCCTAGTAGCGGTTCCAGAACTGGTTCATGTTATTTACTCTAAACTAATTGATCAATAGATGGACAAAAGAAAAAAACAAAACAAAACCAGGAGGCCAGACCTGATCATGCAACTTGGCACTGAAAAAGAATCCAGAGGGATTTTGAGTGTGGGGGGGAACTGAAGGGGGGGTGTTTTCTTTATTTTTTGAAGAAAGTAAGATTCTGACTGAAAGTTCAGGTGACACTGTGGAAATATGAAACAAGAGGGGATGTCATGAAGGCAGCTTTTCTTTTTCTGAGGAAAAAATAGGCATGGGCTACAGGACTATTTAAAACGTCTCATTTACAGTATAAGCTCAAAGGTAGATGTAATTTTATACCTATGAGTATTTGTCTGATTTCTGTCTCTTCCTCACCATTGGGTATCTATTCTTCACATGTAAATAAGGTAATCAACCACCTTATTCAGTCGTCATCTTTTCACTCATCAAAGATTGTTTCTATGTAGATTGGACATTTATTGTAGCACTACATAACTGATTTTAAAAAATCTGTAAATGAATTAGCACTTTCATATTGAAACAAGCCTGCTAGCCTATGTATAAAATAGCAAAATGTTTGCTGTTTATAAAAAGAAGGGATGTAATGGGGTGGGGGGCAGGGGTAATTTCAAGATATTAATTTAAAAATGTACTAGCAATTTTGTACCTGGTGACTTTGTGGTGCGCTCACCTTGATAGTGACTTGAATTCGGTATGTTAAAAGGGGTTAATGATACTTCATTGCTGCTAAAAAATGGCAACTCCCTCTGTGTCCTGTTTTTTCTTAAAGCTCTGGGTGTACAAGTGGATATCCGGATACAAGACCTTACTGTAACAAATAAGAAAGGTGATATCTGAAGCATGTGAATTGGATATAAAGTTCTACTCTTAAAGAGTTATCAAGGAGTTGTGGCTAAACATCAATATATGCAATCTATTAAAAGAACTTAATTCGGCTATTATGTCTTGATTTGATTGCAGTGTTTTCCTAATTATAAAAATTTTCCCTCATTGGCCTATTTTTTATCCTGTACCTAGAAAGGGTGCAAAATGCACACTTAAAATTTGATATTTAACACATGCCCTCCCCTATTACCCCTCGATTGTGGTATCAGATCTTAGATAGGCAGAAGGCACATGGTTCCCTCCAAAAACCACTATTGATACCACTGCAAAAACAAGCCAGCAACCAGACAATGTAGAGAGGTTGGCTTGCTTCCCTCTCTCCTAACTGCATGTTAAAAATAAGCCTTTATTGAGCTTAAACATCTGTCAGATGAGTCATACATTGGATTATTTTTTTATATACATGCGTACACACAATATTTCAAATTAAAAGCAACATCTCAATAGATTCAAAACTACTAAATGCTGTTATCTGTAACAGACTAAAAAATTTATAACTGTAAAAATGAAACATGCACATATTGATATTTAAAATGCATAATGAAGAAAACCCATTGATGTTGTGTTTTTCTTGTATGCCAATTATTAAGCCACTATTGCTGGCACTGTTTGGTTTTCTATTTTAACACTGAAGGAGTGAAAGTATTTCCTATATTTATGAATTTACTATGAAAATCTTGGCAAAAAAATTGTCTAAAATGTGTGGATGAAAACTGTTAATCAAGTGTGTTTCTACTTTTTTCCCCCAAATTGGACACCATCTGTATACCATAGGTTGCCTAAGGGGATTTCACTATTATATAAAATCAATAACATTAAAATGGAGTAGTTGTATATATGAAACATTGTGTACAGAGGGGAGATATTGAATAGTATTAAACATTTCGTCTTCCTTTATCTTTTATCCCTTACCTAATATTTAGTCTACTTTTTTAAATTTCAGACTTCACTGCTATTTGAATTGATAATTTCAGTTTTCACATTGTTAATGGAAAACCATATCTAATAAAGGTTTTAGTTATTCCAGTGCACAGTATGAAAATTCTCATTTGCTGAGATTTTGTTTCAAGAAAATGTATTGGTATGTCTTTGAGAACAAGTTTTATTGTTTCCTCTGTCATACAGTCCAAACTAACTTCCATTTATGGATTTGAACTGAAATTAAAGACCTTAAAATTAAACTATATTTAATATTAAATAGTGTTCAAATGGTAGTTTCTAATGTACCTACTATATACCTCATTTATTTTCAATATTTCTGTAAACATCAAATTAGTTTCTTACAGACTATGGATGTTGATGTCAGTGTTTTTAGGTAAGGTGGTAGGACTTTGATAAATTTTTTTTAATCCTCACCCAAGGATACGTTTATTGATTTTAGAGACAGAAGAAGGGAAAAAGAGAAACATTGATCAGTTGCCTCCCAAATGTGCCCTGACGGAATAGACCCAGCAACTTTTCAGTGTACAGGACATGCTCCAACCAACCGAGCCACCTGTCCAGTCCTGGTAACTTTCTGAGAGTATTTACAAACATGTAATATGCTGCCTGTAGATTTTATTTACATACAGCCTTTCCCACAGTTTCACTAACCTATAACATTCATTCATTTTTAGAGATAGGGAAAGGAGGGGAAAAGGGAGAGAAACATCAATGTCAGAAACATCAGTGGGTAGCCCCTCTTGTATGTGCCTTGGCTAGAGAGGTAACCCACAATCAAGGCATGTGCTAACTGAGAATCAAACCAGTGACCTAGCTTTGTGGGATAGGTCTAACCAACTGAGCCACGCTGGTCAGGGCCATGTAACATTTTTCAGTTTATAGAATTCTGATTTTGTATGGGTTTCAGTATTTGTCCTTTTTAGTCGCTGATACTAGCGTATAATCTTGATTTTTATCAGTATTAAATAAAGGAAGTTTAATTGTTTCTCTGCAGGTTATAAAATGGTGATTACTAACCTACACACTTCAACATGGTGACTGCTATTCTTACTTCTGGAAAAGACTATAGAGTAGGGTTGGCCATACCACAGCCCTATTGGCTATATGCGGTTTTCAGCCTTAGATATAGCCCCTGAAGCAAGCGTGAAGAAAAAGTCATTAAGAATTGTTATTAGTATGATTACAACAGGTCTCTGGGGAGGTCCAATACAATGCCTTATGCATATAAGTAGGCATTCCAAAGATTGTAAGATGAGCTAAGATTACATTAAAACATCAGTTATAAAAATGGCAGCTCTGTTTTATGTAAATTTGTTTTGTGACAGTTACCTGTGATTCTTTGTTGGCATCCAACCTGAAGTTTAAATTTTACCCGTGCTGAGTTTGGTCACCCTTGTAATAATACTTTGGTGTATGTGTTTCTTACAAAGGGAAACTACGTCCCATCTAGAAATCCAGGATTTTCACACTATGGGTAGGATACTTTTTTTTTTTAATCTTCACCCAAGGACATCTTTTTTAAAAGATTTTATAGAGTGGGGAGGGAGAGAGACATTGTCAATATGCGAGAAAAAACAATAGCCTTTTGCACACCCCCAACCGGAGCCCCTTCCCCATAACCCTGGCATGTGTGCTGAGACTAGGAATTGAACCAGTAACATTTTGCTTTGCAGGATGATGCACAAACATCTGAGCCACACGAATTAGGGCCCAAGGACATTTCATTGCTTTTAGAGAGAGGGCGAGGGGAGAGAAAAACATTGATTTACATCAAACGCTCGACCTGGGTATGTGTTTCTGACAGAGAATCAAACCTGTGACCTTTTGATCTACAGAGTGGTGCTCCAACCAACTGAGCCAGAGCGGCCAGGGAAGGAATGAATCTTTCATAAGTAACTTTATTTTGGGGGGGGTGGTCTATGGTAATTCCCCTCCAGGTTTTTAAAGCATACATGTTCATTCCTTTGTATACTTGCAGATCTTTCATGTATAGACTGAAGTTTGTTAGACTGTTTGAATCCTGTATTTAAGTGCTTCCTATCTGGCTTTTAATGTTTCTTTCAAAATCCTTTTTTAATAAACCAAAAATACAAAGAAACTTCTTCAACCTGAAAAATGGCATCTACCCAAAACCTGAAGCTAAAGACTTGAAAACTAAGATCAAGAATTAGACAAGCATACCCCTGTTGCCATGTCTATTCAACATTTACACGAGCTTCTAGCCAGGGCAATTAGGCAAGAGGGGGAAATAAAAGACATCCAGATTGGAAAGAAGCGAATTCACAGATGACAAGATCTTACAGAAAACCCTAAGAATCCACACAAAAAGCTAATGACCATCAAGGTTGTAGTACATAAGGTTAATACACAAAAATCAGTTGTATTTCTATATGGCAATGAAAGCAAAATTAAGGAAATTCCATGTACAACGGCCTGAAAATATACTTCAGAATAAATTTAACAAAAGTGAAAAACACTTTGAAAACTACAGACCTGTTGAAAGACCTAAATAAATAGACATCTGTGTTCATGGATTGGAAAATATGAGGATGGAGATACTTCCCAAGTTCATGTATAGATTCAGTGTGATTTTCGTAATATCTCAGCTACCTTTTTGCAGGATTAACAAACTGATCCTAAAATATGTAAATACAAGGGATGCAGAATAGACAATCTTCAATGCAAACATGATTTAGTAATTGTGACAGTGATACTGGCATAAGGACAGACATACTGACCAATGGAATAAAACAGTCCAGTGTGAAACTTAAAATCTGTGGTCAGTTGGTTTTCAACAAGGATGCAAAGACAATTCAATGTATGAAAGAATCATCCAACAAATGGTTCTAAGCTGGTATTTACCTGCAAAAGCCTGAGGTTGGACCTTTACCACACCGATAACTTACAAAAATTAAAGTGATTTAAAGACTTAGATATCAAAGTATAAAAAATTTATGGTAAAAAATGTAGGCACAAATCCTTTTGACTGAATTAGGCAATGCAACAGTTTCTTGGATACCAAAGCAGACACAAATCCTAAGTATATAGGAACTCTTATAACAGCAAAAACAATTTACGGTAAAAGTAGGAAAGAATACAAGTAGACATTTCTCCAAAAATAAACTATCATTGGAAAAGATGCTCAACATTGCTAGTCAGTAGGGAAATGCAAAGCTGGATAAAAAGATCTCTCACATCAGTATGTCTATAATTAAAAAGATGTACAATTACAAGTATTGGTGAAGATGAGAAACTGGGGACATCATAAAATGTTAAGATGTAAAATGGTTATCTGTGGTAGAAAAGTTTGGCAGTTCCTCAAAAGATTGTAGGTAGAGTCACTCAGTAATTCTACTCTACAGAGATTAGATATAGTCAAGAGAAATGAAAGATGTGTCCACACAAGAACGTGTACCTGATTGTTAATACTAGCATTATAGCCAAAAGGTGGAAATAACCCAAGAAGCTGTTAGTTGAAGAATGTAAACAAAATGGGGTGTATCCATAAAATCAGATACTTGGCAATAAAAAGGAATGGAGTACTGTTAACATGCTACACTACTGATAAACCTTGGAAACAAAAAAGTCACACAAAAGGTCCCATTTATATGAAATGTCAAGGATTGGCAAATCCATAGAAGCAGAAAATAATGGTTGCCAGGGGAGGGGCAGGGAGGAAATGAAGTGACTGCTAATGGGCGCAAGCTTTCTTTTGGGGATGATGAAAAAGTTTTGAACCAAATATTGATGGTTCCATGGCCTCGTGAATATACTAAAAACTACTTAAGTGTACACTTAAAATGTTGAATTTTATGGTGTATATCTCAACTTTCAGTTTTTGTTTAAAGCAAGTCTCAAATTTGGTTCGTTCTCTAAAATTTAACATGAAATGTGTATGTATTTAATACAAATTAAGAACAATTTTACTCATGGCTATGTATGTCACCCTATAGTCTCAAGAGATTTTATTACCCCAATATTTTGTTTTGCTACCAGTTCATTTGCTTAATTGCCATTACCCTATCAAACAGCCCAAGCTGATGCCAAACTTGGGATGGTGAGCCTCAAAATTATTTTTTCTGTAAATCTGCGTGTTAT